GCCCTGATGGGGAATCAAACCTGTGAATTTTTGGTGCACAGGACAACACTCAACCAGATTATACTTGTTTTAAAACTTATTTTAGTGGTTGCCCATGAATTTTCAACATACATTTATAGTTGGTGTACGTCTACTTTCAAAGAACACTGCGCTGGTTCACTGGTTGTGCGGTGCTGGTTTCTGCCCAGCAGCTTCGTGCTGGCCTGTGCACGCTCACCGACGGCAGCTTTGTGCTGGCCTGTGCACGCTCACCGACGGCAGCTTTGTGCTGGCCTGTGCACGCTCACCGACGGCGGCTTTGTGCTGGCATGTCCATGCTCACCGACGGCGGCTTTGTGCTGGCCTGTGCACGCTCACCGACGGCAGCTTTGTGCTGGCCTGTGCACGCTCACAGACGGCAGCTTTGTGCTGGCATGTCCATGCTCACTGACGGTCTTCCCTCCATTGTGTCCACTTCACCAATGAGCCCATCAGAAACACTCTGCATTTCTGCTGCAGTGTTTTATATTTTTAGAATTTTACTTTGATATTTTTAAAATATTTTTTATATTCTGTATATATTACTCATCTGTTTTTGCATGCTACCCACTTTTTTTTTTTATTTTTTATTACAAGGCTTAGCTTATTAATCACAGCTGTTTTAAATTCCTGGTATTAAATTCCAGCATCCATACCTAAATATGTTCTAATGTTGCTTTGTCTCTTCAGACTGTATTATTTTGCCTTTTATCATGACTTGCAATTTTTTGTTGAAAGCTGGGTATGATACCTTCGGTGAGAGGAACTGAGTGAACAGGCCTTTAGTGTGAGTTTGTGTGTTTAGCTAAGAGTTCATTGGTGTTTACTGGAGCTCTAGGTATTAGAGTTTAACATTTCCTCTGGTGTCCTTATTTTTGAATTTCTCGTTGTCTAAGTGTTCCCCTAAAGAATTCTTAAATAAGAGATGAGTGTGTGGCCTTCCGCTGTAACCCTGTTGTTATGAAGGAGCTGGTGGCTGGGTGGTGAGGCGTGGGGGAGGGGAGGCACCTTGAAGCCCTGTGACGAGGTCTCAGTCTTTTAGTAAACTACTCTTTCTGCTGTGGACTTCACACGTGTTTCTCAGCTTTGCTCATGCTCAGGTGAGGCAGGAGGCCAGACAGGTGGGCGTTGCTCCCTCCAGCACCTGCTTGGCTTCTGCTCCCCAGAGCTGTGATTCTCTGTTCTGCTCTGTCTCCAGGCTCCAGGGTGGGAGATGGCCATGCGTCCCCACAGATCAGAGAGCCGAGATTCCTTGTTCAGCTTTTCCTTGTTGTGACAAAGGGAGTGATGACGTTCACAATTTTAAAGACCAAACTGGAAGTTGGAAGTTCTTTTACATCTAATTTTTAATATTTCTACATTAATAAAACAACATATTATAAAGCCATAAACACAATCGCTATGGAAAGTGAAAAGAAATTTGAGGAAATTATTTTGAAAATTCAAGCTATTCTACCCTAAATATTTAGTGTATATGTAGAACAAGTTTGTATCATACAGATCTCAGAAGGAAGCATTGCCTTTCTGTGATTTGTTGATTTATACAAAGGTAATACAGAGACTCTAAATAGTTCATAGCTTCTGTAGTCCCTAGAAATATTTGAAGGATCCAAGAAAACCTTTATTGTCCTGAACTTGACGGAGTGTCCTCACACAAGCTATAGTAACAAGCACCTCTCTTCCGGGCCAGTTTGGGCAGTGTCTGGAGTGCAAGAGAAATGAAGGCGGAGATGGCCAGGAGTTCAGAACATTGACAACTTTCTTATGGTGATTTTAACTTATTTCTGTCTAATTATCATTAGAGTGGAAGGTGCTTCTCAGGTAACATGGACTTATATGTAAATTTTTTCTGGATAGTCAATTCTGCTGCTCCCAAGAATCTGTAGAGAAGAAAGCAAACCCCTCGCACAGCAGCTCCCAAACATGTATGGGTGTAATCCTCCAGGTGTAAAAGAGGAAACGTCCTCAATCTCTCGCTTTGGGTATCATTTTTGGATACCCTTTTGGATAACATTTTTAAGCCTCTATTGATGTGAACTTGGAAGATGGGAAGTACATGACCTGTAAGAAAAATATCCATGTGGTGTATAATAATGCTGTTCCGTACATACCTAAATGTTTAATTTTTTATTATTTAGTTCTGTTTGAGAAAACAGAAGAGCTCATAACAGTAAGTACGAATGACATACATTTTTATCTGCAGTAGGGTAGATGTTTCTAAATACAAAATGAGGATGTAACACATAAAGTGTATGAAACTAAGAATAAGGTTTACTTTTGTACAATTAAGAAAAATAATCTGAATAAAAATAAATACCAACATGGAGAAAAATAAGGTTAACATCAAGTCCAGATAGATGACTAAGTAAATGCAGCTGAAAAATTGCACAATTGTATCCCTAACTGTGTATGTTTTTATAAAGTGTAAGTCATAGGTCAAATGTAAACATTTGTTATTATTTTGCAAAATAATCATGTCTAGTACACTGTATAAAGCCAAACTAAGATTAATGCGCACAGTCGTAATTCATTGTGATTGGGACTTCCTGATACCATTTACATATTGGTTTAAAATGATTAGAATGAAAACATCTATTGTTTTTATTAGATTAGATAAATCATATTTTATTTTTTTATTTTTTTAATGAATTTTTATTTATTTTTTTGTTACAGATATTTTACCTTTTTACCCCATTGGCACCCCCCACCCCCCCCTCCACCCTGTCCCCGGCTTAGTTGTCCATGTCCATTGGTCATGCATACATGCATATAAGTTCTGTGGTTTATCTCTTCCCACCCCCCCACCCCCCATCCCCTCTTCTGAGGGATGTCAGTCTGTGCCCTACTTCCATGTGTCTGGGTCTACTGTATTCCTCAGACTGTTATGTTCATTATATTCCGTATATAAGTGAGATCATGTGGTATCTGTCTTTTTCTGCTTGGCTTCTTTCACTTAGGATAATACTTTCCAGGTCCCTCCATGTCGTCTCAAAGGATAAGAGATCTTTCTTTCTTACCGCTGCATAGTACTCCATTGTGTATATGTACCACTGCTTTTTGATCCATTCGTCTACTGGTGGACACTTGGGCTGTTTCCAGATCTTAGCTATTGTAAATAGTGCTGCTATGAACATGGGGGTACATATATTCTTCCTGACTGGTGTTTCAGGCTTCTTAGGGTATATTCCCAGCAGTGGGATCACTGGGTCAAATGGAAGTTCAATTTTTAATTTTTTGAGGTAGCACCATATTGTTTTCCATAGCGGCTGCACCAGTCTGCATTCCCACCAGCAGTGTATTAGAGTCCCCTTTTCTCCACACCCTCGCCAGCACTTGTTGTTTGATGATTTGTTGATGGTGGCCATTCTGACAGGTGTGAGGTGATACCTCATTGTTGTTTTAATTTGCATCTCTCTGATGATTAGTGATGTTGAGCATTTCTTCATAGGTCTCTTGGCCATTTGTATGTCCTGTTTGGAGAGGTGTCTATTCAGCTCCTCTGCCCATTTTTTAATTGGGTTCTTTGTCTTCCTTTTGTGGAGTTGTATGAGCACTCTATATATATTGGAAATTAACCCCTTATTTGATACATCATTGGCAATGATGTTCTCCCATACAGTGGGTTGCCTTTCCAGATAAATCATATTTTAAATGTGAATAATCAATGTGAGTTTAACACTAATCATATTGGTAAATATAGGTATATGCTTATGACTGTTGTAACTAGTTCTTAGTAACAGGAAAGGAGCAAAGGGGAAGCCAGACATCGCAGGCGTGTCATGCGGGCAGCTTCGCCAGGAAGCTGCAGCTCTGCACCCCGGGAACCACCGGGCTACTTCCTACGGAGCACTAGGGGAAGGGGACTGGAAAACAGGAAGATAGACACAGGCCCACTAAAGCTGGGTGACAGAGGGAAGGTGCTTGCCTGTCAGTCACACCTGGAAACAGAACTATTTGGCCAAAATGAGTATGGCCACTGCAAGTTCATGAAAATTTGGGGATATGTAATCTCCTAAAAGAGGAGTTCTATGTGGTTCTTGGTGTGCTTGGCCTGTGACTCTTGGCTCTCTTGCATTCGCCCGTATGTTCCACGGCCGTGCGGACCCCACATGCAGTGGACTAAGGGACTGCAGTGGGACACACACGCTAAGCCAGCCTGACTCTGGGCTGGACCCGGCTCCAGCGTGAAAGGAAACTGGACTCTGGCTCTGACTGTAGCTCCACTGAGCCCCAGCTGCTCTTCTATGACGCGGCTAAGGGTAACGGGGGTTTGAAAACCCAGGGGTGTAATTCCATGGAAATAAAGCTTTCTACTAGATCTCATCCCCCTATAAGAGTCTCAGAAAATTACTTTCCTTGGAATATTGCAAGAAATCCACCCCCAGCAGCAAAGGGGGAGATAGGCCCTCTCTCCTCTGATACTACTTACACGTAAAGGTACATGCTCTTCTTAATCTGAATCAGAATGGTCATTGTATCTAGACTATACTCCTGTGACTAGATGAATAACAACTAATAAAAGTTTCATAATAATTCTATATTTATCAAATTTCCCTTTGAAGCACTTTTTTTTTTTTTTTTGCATTTTATCTTCAGATAGAGAGGGAGGTAGAAAGAGAGGAAGAGAGAGAAAGAGAAAATTGATGCGAGAGAGACACATCAACTGGTTGCCACCCACACGACTCCAACAAGGACCGGGGACAAACTGCCACCGAGGTACGTGCCCTTAGCGGGAACCGAAACTGGGACTCTCTGGTCTGCGGGCTGACACTCTCACCGCTGAGCCAAACTGGCCAGGGCTGAAGCACTTTTAATAACAAGAAAGTGACAATGATATGAGAAAATAATTAATGGCATTTTGGGATGATATAAAGAAACTCTAACTAGTCAGCTTCTTTCTGTTCTCATTTCTGCATTAACCCATTAGATAACTTTATACCAATCATTTTTCTTTTTCTTTCTAAATCTGTTTCCTTGTCTTTAGGTGTAGTTATACAAGTCTTTAAATTCTTGACTGCTGGAAAGGCAGTCTGAAGCTATGAGATGGCTAAGATTTCTGCCTGGACTCTCCTCACCACGCTGATACGTGAGTCACTCATGGTGGGCTTGACGTTTCATTGATATTGAAGTCCACCAGAGACTCAGGTTGAGTTGGCGTCACTTCTTGCCCTGGGTGCTGAACAAAAGTCCCAAAAGCTTTGTTCAAAGTAAGAAATCTATTTGAAACAAAGTTGGCAGTGCTGTTTTTAAACTTATTGGTAGGTGAAGTTTTTACCCTTATATTGACATGAATTTGATGTAGTTTGATTTCATAAGACTTACTAAAAGTGGAAACTTATTCTAGTTGGCAGCATTACACACCCACTACCCAGCGTTCCACACGGTCAGCAGGGCTACGGCCTCTCTGGGCTCAGTTCTATAAGTGTGCCCCACAGTTATGGTAAAAATAGTAACTCATATTCATTAAACACTAGGTATTAAGTCCCAAGTTGCAAGGTAGTAATTCACTCAGTGCTCCTAGAAGCCCATTTCACTGAGGAGGAAAGAGAGATAGAGGGTCAATGAACTTGTCCCAGCTTTAAGTGAGAGAGCCAGACTTTGAAGCCAGATGTTCCGCTTCCGAACTCCATAATTCAAACCAGTACATTTCACCATCTCTCTGGGTGATCCAAATGCTCTGGGTACCAACATATTTCCTGAAATTATAAGTCAGTGTAAGCCTCATTCAGGTAGTTATCTACAAACACAATTCTAGAGATTTTTTTTTTTTAAACTGGAGTTTAAATTATAATGAAAAAAAAAAAAACTGAAATGGCTAAATCTCACACTACAAAATAAAAATTTTTTTAATAATTACCTTAGGCTTATACGATAGTTATATAGATGCTAAACTTCCAATTATAGCCATTGCTTTCTCGAGGTTCATGTCCAATCGTTTTTCTGTAAATGATTCTTGAAAGTCTTGACTCAGTGTAGTCAAGTGAAGATTCCAGTCTTTGTTCTTTTTGGATCCAGCACAGCTTTGGTGTTTCTGCACCATTTGACAACGATGTCTGTGCCATGATAACTGCTGTTAAAGTGGCAGTTTGCCTATGTGGGGCGTCACTGCAGTTCTGCCTCTCCTGGCCCTGGCCCCGAGCACGTGGCCAGTAGACGCGTTCATCCCACCTGGACTCCTGGGTTCACTTCTCTCCGCTGACTTGATGTGTGGCCTCCACAGACAACGTGCTGGAAACCTGTTTGTTCCTTCCTCAAAACGGAACAGGTGTCCTTCATTCTTAGTTGCATTTTTCAAGTGTTAGGCCCAGCTAGTTATCTCCTCAACGGTCCCTCTCCCACTTGGCCTTTGTGGATTGCGTCTTCCCCTGGCTGCCTGGCCGAGCCGAGGGTGGTTCCGCCGCCCTGAAGGAGACACGGCTTCACCCAGCAGCACTTCCTGGGCACCTCCAGCGGCTCAGCACTTTCGGGAGAGCGTGATGTTTGGCGGATTACATGTCTCAGAAACAATGGACTACCCTGTGTTTCTTACAGTGTTAGTCAATATTTTTGTTCCTTTAATACTTCACCACTTCACCCCTGGTATGTTGTAGCCATATAACAGCAGAGACCTGCGGGTGGACCCTAAGCAAATTAATCTCTTAATCGCATCTTAACATGGGTTTTCTAAAAGAGTACACATTTTTAACAGAAGTACATTCTTACAATGTTTCCAACTAATATTGAATGTTTAATGATGTACGAAGCATCTCACAGGAAACCTATAATTTTAATAGTCTTAATATAAAATGAAGGATTATTTTAGAAAATATATTTTCTCCTAATGGTGTATTGTTTTCGTGGAGGAGTTGATGTCCAGGCCTCTTTGGAACTGAGGGTTTCTCCTTCCTTGATATGGGTTTTATTTTATCAAGCTGGGAACCGTGTCTTCATGTGTTTTACAGATAGTATTCAATACCAATAAGATCACTTATGTGATCTGGGAGAAAGCATCCAAATACATACCAAGATAAACTAAACCTTCTGGGGAAGGAATATGAATATAATGAGAACTGAAGAATGAAAAAATACCAAGCATTCCAACCCTCGTTGCTTTTCCAGTAACTGGGGCCATTTTGGTATTGGACTATACTTAAAAAAAGAGCAGTCAGACTTTCAGAGTCTTTAGAGATTTTTGTTTTGTGTAGGAAACAGCCGGAAACGAGGCTGAAACATCTGCCGCCAGGCTCTCGGATGACACGGTGGGCACAGGTCACGTACTGAACACGCCCGTCTTACTTCGCCGCTGGCATTTGCCTTTGGCTCGGAGACGTTCACCCCTGGGAGACCCTCGCTCAGGGCTTCGCAGGACCCTGCGAGCGCTGCTGAGATGCGTGTCCTCTTCCTACTGTCCAGCACTAATAGATTTTATATATAAATACTTTTTACATGACAGATAGAAGGTATTGCAGGGAAAATATTCTAAGATAAAGAGAGTATAGTCACTGAGGGGGTCTGTTTAGTAGAAACCCCCCTACGAGGAGGAAGTGAAAGTGAAGGCATATATTATTCCTGGATAAGAAACAACCACTAAGAAAGCTTTGTTTCCTGAACTCTGCCTCTTCTGGGTCAGCTCAAAACCTCTGCCCCCGATTCAGGCAGGACTGACGACATCCTCAGCGGTCCTGCCCACCCACTCTGCCCGTCTTCCCCCACCTGCAGCCGCGAGCTTTGCGGGGAGGGTGTAGGAAGACTAACGAAGAAGAAGAAGGTGTAAAGGAGCAGAGACGAATAGAGGAAAGCTGGACAAGAACTGTGTTGTGAGAACGGCACAATTTTGTTCGGAGAGAGGGTTTAGGCTGCAAGAAACTTAAGTATCTTTATGATGTTCATGTTCCTTTCATTTGTGTTTTACAAAAGATCCAAAAAATAAAATAAAATTTATAAACATATGAACAAAAATGAAAATTCTATGAGGCTGTAGCAGTAGCTAAGGAAGACTATAGTGTAAAGGTTCCATGTGATATTCTTTGATACATTTATTTAACTCTTTCACATTTAAATCTATGTCAGTGCAACAAACAATATAAATTGTGGCCTGATGTATTAAGTTAGTCATTTTAAATAAAACGTCTGGTCACTCAGTGATTGGAAACAAAACGTTAAATGGAAAACCACTTGTGGTCTCATAATTTTCAAAGAATTGCTGTGTCATTTGTTTGCATAAAATGTATTAATTTCGGAAAGTTACAAATCATTTCTGAAAGGCCACTCAGTCAAAATATGGAGAGTCTTGTGCTGCGGAAGACAAAAGATCAAGCTGAAAGCAACGTGGTTTGAAAGAGTCCAGTGATCTTATTAATAATGAAAAGATGCACAGTTGTTATCATATGAAATTTATTCTAACCTGAAATGCTGGAATTAATTTATAACAAGTTTTATTCTTACAACTTTAAAGAACACTTTAAAGCAAGAGGTCTTATTCCTTTCCTCTTCTGCGAAAAGTATGAGGTCATGTTTGATTCTTGACAACACAGCAATATGCTTATTAGCTTTCACTCAAAATTAGGTTTATGATGGGTTTAAATTTTTTATAAAGTTTTCTCTAAAGACAATTTTTCTTTAATTGCCACATATTTTGTCATTAAATAGAACTGCATAATACATCAATTAATGTTATTCCCACTGAAAAATGTATTGTTCTTAATGCTGATCATCATCACTCACTCCTATGAGTCTCTGTTCAGTCTCCTGCGCTGGTATAAGAATATGGAATGTATTAGTTCACCTGACACAGTAGCACTAGAAGTCCCTGATATTAAGCCCATTTTGCAGATAAAAAAATTTGTGAACCCAGAAATAATCACATAAGTGTGGGTAGAAAACAAAATGGAGATTGTGGCCTGCACACCAAGGTCCAAGGTGGAAGAAATCACAGTGATCCAGACAAAGTAACCCACACAAAGTAACTGTTTAACTAAATGCTTAACTAATGAGGATGCCATTTGCTGTTCACTTGCTATAATGGACTTACACCTGTCAGTCCCTCCAGCTGCTATGAGAGGCATCTAAAGATTTCAAACAAGTTAAATGAAGAGAAGAGGGATGTATGGGACTCCTGCTAGCCATTCGGTCACCTGTAATAGAGACACTATTAAGAGACTCCAAACGCAATAAAGGCCCAGAGGGCCTACAAGCGAGGGACAGCAAGGACCCTCAAGTGCACATTCCTTCCCCACTTTCTGGGGACGTGTCAGAATGACCGATGCAGCCCCCTTCCTGAACGTGGTTCCCTGGAGCATCTGGCACAGGGGTTATGGCTAAAACAAAAACCTTCATTTTAGCTTCCTAAGTTTCTCGTGCCTGGATTAGAATTCTAGCTCGTGATCTTCAGATGAGTTTTTTCAAACGTCCTCTGTTTGAGCTCAACCAAATGGTTGCCAGGACTCTGCTCCCACCAGAGGCTTGGAAAGACCAGGAATGTTGGAATGTACGGAGTGGGGATATTTGCCTGAAAGGTGCCACACACATGTGAGAATTCTGGAAAAACTGAATGAATATTTATTTCAATAAAGCTGACAAATTGTATGTAGTTGACATAGTTTTCTTTTGGAGTAGGTGGTTCGAGAATGTGGCTAGACTACAACTAGACAACTGGAGTATTTAAACATCTGATTACATCAGTCTATAAAGACGCTCGGGAAAGTTGCTGCTTTCCTTTCTCTCTAAAATATCAGCAGATGTTCACCTCCACTTGGGCAGAGTTGCACATTGTAAGTGAAAAATGTTATTAATGCTTTTTTTTATAAGTTGACTACTATCTCTTAAAATTTTATTATAAATAAAAAATGCATTTGCTAGAGTTTTTGTTTACTCTTAATGCTTACAATTAAAAAAAGAAACATAAACATGTTAGGATTAATTTGAAAAATGATATATTCTTTTCAGGACATGTCCCGTCCTATTGGACTTTTAATTATGTTATAATAGCTTTCACATGAAATAACTCCAAGCTTGGTATGAGTGGGTAGGTGGCTTCATAGAAATTTAGTTCTTTCTCTTGTTTTTATTTGACCTTGAACAAAACACCTTGTTACTCCTAGAACAGGGAGCCTCATTATCCATCATCATAGACTTCTTGGAATGCTTATTACAACAGTCAGAATCTCTCTGATAATGAAAAACATTGGTAGAGGCAAAATATGATCCACAGCTTCTGGTGAAGAAAAGGCATTTGTTGGGTAGAAACACAACAACAACAAAACTCGCCCTGTTTCAAATAGGTACCTTGAAGATAATATATCTGTCTGTCTGAATTCGTTTTTAATTTCTGAAAGTCTACAAAGTGCCTTCAACATACTATTTCCAATAATATGCGTTGGATAATTAGATTAGTGAAAATAAACCCAGTTATTGACTGTGAATAGAGTTTGCAGGTTCTAAATGATCTTCAGAAATATAACTGCAACACATTATGAATTTCAAATTACCACCAAGTCACCTACTATCACAGAAGCCCTGACATTTGATAGGTATTTATCTCATACAATTCTGTCTGACTGGAGGAAGGGACATAAAGTTCCACAACAGTATTTGTCATAATCTTATTTTCATACTTTTACATAGTTTTTCTATTTCTGAGAGTTTAAATGTAAAGGAAAATTTCAAGGATAGTTCATAGGTTCCCACACACCTCACACCCAGTTTTTTTGTATTATTAACATCATATATGAATATGGTACATTTGTTACAATTAATGAACCGACATTGGTACATTGTGGTTAACTACGGTTCACACATTATTTAGCCTTCCTTAATGTTCACGACTGCTCTTTTCCTGCTTGAGGATGCAGCCGCAATATCACATACCGCGAGCTCTCAGTTCCTTCGGCTCCTCTTTCCGGGGAGTCTTTCAGAGTTCCCCTGTTTGGAGGATCTTGAGAGTTTTGAGGAATACTGGTAGAGTATGTTCTAGAATGTCCCTCAGTTGGAACTTACCTGATATTTTTCTCCTGGATAAACTAGAGTTATGAAGTGTCGAGAGGAAGACCATAAAGGATTTGCCATTCTCATGATATATTTCATGGATACCTACGGCCAACCTGACACATCACTGTTCGTGCTGATTTTGACCCCCGGCTAAGGTAGTTTTGCATGTCTCCCCACTGTGAAGTTCCCCCCTTTTGAAATGAAGTCCCAGGTGTAACTCAGTTCAAGAGCGTGGCATTATGTAGGCACAGTGTCTACTTATCTACATATATAAGTGTCATATATATATATATATATATATATATATATATATATGTCACTTTCTCCATGAGTAAGTTTTGATAGTTTGTATCTTTCAAGGAATTGGTCAATTTTATCTAAATTATAAAATTTGCTTGGATAGCCCTAGCTGATGTGGCTCAGTTGGTTGGGCATTTTCCCATGCACTGAAAGGTTGCTGGTTCGATTCCAGGTCAGGGCACATGCCCTAGTTTCAGGCTTGATCACCAATAGGGTGTGTGAAGGATGCAGCCCATAGTTGTTACTGTTTCATGTTGATGTTTCTCTCTCTCTCCCTAAAAATCAATACTATTTTTAAAAAATCTGAGAGATAAAGATGTTCATAGTATTTCTTTATTATCCATTTACTGTCCATGGAATCAATAATGACAACCCCTCTTTCATTCCAATGTTGGTCTGTTTTTTAAAAAAAATCTCTCTTTTATTCTTAGTTAATCAATTTTATTGATACTTTCAAAGAATCAGGTTTGGTCTCAATTATTTTTCTATTGTTTTTCTGTTTTCTGTATTCAATTTAATTGATATCTGCTCTAATTTTTTCTATTTATTGTCTACTGTTTACTTTAGATTTAATTTGCTTTTCTGTCTCTAGTTTCCTAAAATGGGAACTTAGACTATTAATTTTAGAACTTCTTTCACTTGTAAAATACCCATTTAGACTTCTAAATTTCCCCAAAAACACTATTTTGTTGCGCCCTCAAAATTCCGATAAAAGTATTTTTATTATAATTTCATTAAAATCATTTAAAATTTTTAATTGGAAACTTCTTCTTTTTTTTTTATTGATTAATTTTTGTTACAAATGATTCTCCTTTTTTCCCCCACTGATTCCCCCTCCCCATTCCCTCCCTGCCCCTTCCCCCGATTGTTGTCCATGTCCACTGTTCATGCATACATGCATATAAATTCTGTTGTTCAGCCCTCTCTCACCTCCCCACTCCTTAGGGGATTGTCCTCAAACTGTTATGTTCATTATATTCCAGAAATCAGTGAGATCATATGAAATTTGTCTTTCTCTGTCTGGCTTGTTTCACTTAGGATGATACTTTCTAGGTCCCTCCATGTAGTCTCAAAGGATAAGAGGTCTTTCTTTCTTACCGCTGCGTAGTACTCCATTGTGTATATGTACCACTGCTTTTTAATCCATTCGTCTACTGATGGGCACTTGGGCTGTTTCCAGATCTTAGCGATTGTAAATAGTGCTGCTACAAAGATGGGGGTACATATATTCTTTCTGATTGGTGTTTTATGCTTCGTAGGGTATATTCCTAGAAGTGGGATCACTGGGTCAAATGGGAGATCAATTTTTAATTTTTTGAGGTGACACCATATTGTTTTCCATAGTGGCTGCACCAGTCTGCATTCCCACCAACAGTGTACTAGAGTCCCCTTTTCTCCACACCCTCGCCAACACTTGTTGTTTGATGATTTGTTGATGGCGGCCATTCTGACAGGTGTGAGGTGATACCTCATTGTTGTTTTGATTTGCATCTCTCTGATGATTAGTGATGATGAACATTTCTTCATATGTCTCTTAGCCATTTGTATGTCCTGTTTGGAGAGGTGTCTATTTAGTTCCTCTGCCCATTTTTTAATTGGATTCTTTGTCTTCCTTTTGTGGAGTTGTATGAGCACTCTATATGTATTGGAAATTAACCCCTTATCTGATATATCATTGGCAATTATGCTCTCCCATACAGTGGGTAGCCTTTCCGTTTTGATGATTGTATCTTTCGCTGTGCAGAAGCTTTTGAGTTTGATGTAGTCCCATGTGTTCATTTTCTCCTTTGTTTCTATTGCCTTAGGTGATGTATCAGTAAAAATTCTGCTGCGTATGATGTCTGAGATTTTGTTGCCCACAGTCTCCTGTAGGATTTTTATGGATTCATGAGTTACATTTAAGTCTTTTATCCATTTTGAGTTTATTTTGGTGAAGGGTGTAAGTTGATGGTCTAGTTTCATTTTTCGGCAAGTAGCTGTCCAATTTTCCCAGCACCATTTATTAAAGAGGCTGTCCTTACTCCACTGTATGCTCTTGCCACCTTTGTCAAATATTAATTGAGCATATTGCCTAGGGTCCATTTCTGGGTTCTCTATTCTGTTCCACTGGTCTATATACCTGTTCTTGTGCCAGTACCAGGCTGTTTTGATTATGGTGGCTTTGTAGTATAACCTGAAATCTGGTATTGTGATCCCTCCAACTTTGTTCTTCCTTTTCAAGATTGCTGTGGCTATTCGAGGCCTTTTTTGGTTCCATATGAACTTTTGAAGTAGTTGTTCTAATTCTTTGAAGTATGCCGTTGGTATTTTGATGGGGATTGCGTTGAATCTATAGATTGCTTTGGGTAATATGGACATTTTAATGATGTTAATTCTCCCAATCCATGAACAGGGTATGTTCTTCCACTTTTTTACATCTTGCTCTATTTCTTTTTTCAAAGACCTGTAGTTTTCTGCGAATAGGTCCTTTATCTCTTTGGTTAAGTTTATTCCTAGGTATCTTAATTTTTTTGAAGCAATGGTAAATGGGATTGTTTGCTTAGTTTCTCTTTCTGTGAGTTCATCATTGGTGTATAAGAATGCCATCGATTTCTTGACGTTAATTTTGTATCCTGCTACTTTGCCAAATTCATTTATTAAGTCTAGTAAACTTTTGGTGGAGTCTTTGGGGTTTTCTATGTACAGTATCATGTCATCTGCAAATAATGACAATTTCACTTCCTCCTTTCCAATTTGGATCCCTTTTATTTTTTCTTCCTGTCTGATTGCTGTGGCTAAGACTTCCAGTACAATGTTAAATAGGAGTGGCGAAAGTGGGCATCCTTGCCTTGTTCCTGTTCTTAAGGGAAATTCTTTTAGTTTTTGCCCATTGAGTATGATGTTGGCTGTAGGTCTTTCATATATGGCCTTTATTATGTCTAGGTATGATCCCTCAATTCCCACACTGCTGAGCGTTTTTATCAGAAATGGATGCTGGATTTTGTCAAAGGCTTTTTCAGCATCTATTGATATGATCATGTGGTTTTTATTCTTCAATTTATTTATGTGGTGTATCACATTTATGGATTTGTGAATATTGTACCAGCCTTGCATCCCTGGGATGAATCCCACCTGGTCATGGTGGATAATTTTTCTGGTGTATTGCTGGATCCGATTTGCTAGTATTTTGTTCAGGATTTTGGCATCTATGTTCATCAGGGATATTGGCCTGTAGTTTTCTTTCTTTGTTGTGTCTTTTTCTGGTTTTGGAATTAGAGTTATGCTGGCTTCATAAAACGAGTTTGGAAGTCTTCCTTCTTCTTGAATTTTTTGAAATAGTTTGAGGAGAATGGGTATTAGTTCTTCTTTGAATGTTCGGTAAAACTCCCCTGTGAAGCCATCTGGGCCTGGGCTTTTGTTTGCTGGAAGAGTCTTGATTACATCTTCAATTTCTTCTGTTGTTATTGGTCTGTTCAAGTTTTCAATCTCTATCTGATCCAATTTTGGGAGACTATGTGTTTCTAAAAATTTGTCCATTTCGCTTAGATTTTCGAATTTGTTGCCGTATAAATTTTCATAGTAGTTGTTAACGATCTTTTGTATTTCTGTAGGGTCAGTTGTTATCTCTCCTGTTTCATTTCTGATTTTATGTATTTGGGTTCTCTCTCTTTGTTTCTTGGTGAGTCTAGCTAAGGGTCCATCGATCTTGTTTATCTTTTCGAAAAACCAGCTCTTTGTTTTATTGATCCTCTGGATTGTTTTTTTGGTCTCTATGTCGTTTATTTCTGCTCTGATCCTTACTATTTCCTTTCTTCTACTTGCTCTGGGGTTTTCTTTTTGTTTACTCTCTAGTTCTTTAAGTTGTGAGGTTAGGTAGTCTATTAGAGATTTTTCTTCTTTTTTGAGGTAGGCCTGTAGTGCTATAAACTTCCCTCTCAGAACTGCTTTTGCTGCATCCCATAGATTTTGTATTGTTGTGTCCTCATTTTCATTGGTTTCCAGGAAGTTTTTGATTTCTTCCTTGATTTCCTCGGTGACCCATTCATTGTTTAATAACATTCTATTTAGCTTCCATGTGTTAAAATGTCTTTGTATGTTCTTCTTGCAATTGATTTCTAGTTTCATACCATTGTGGTCTGAGAAGATGCTTGTTATAATTTCAATCTTCTTGAACTTGTAGAGACTTAGTTTGTGCCCTAATATGTGGTCTATCTTTGAGAATGTTCCATGTGCACTTGAGAAGAATGTGAATTCTGTAGTTTTGGGGTGTAGTTCTCTGTAGATATCTATTAAATCCATTTGGTCTAGTGCTTCATTTAGAGTCTCTGTTTCCCTGCTAATTTTTTGTCTAGAGGATCTATCCAGTGATGTCAGCGGGGTGTTGAAGTCCCCTGTTATGATTGTATTGCTATCGATTTCTCCTTTGAAGTCCTCCAGAAGATTTTTAATATATTTTGGTGCTCCTATATTGGGTGCATATATGTTTATCAAGGTTATATCTTCCTGTTGGATAGATCCTTTCAATATTATGTAGTGGGCTTCTTTGTCTCTAGTTATGGCCTTCAATCTGAAGTCTATTTTATCGGATATCAGTATTGCTACCCCAGCTTTTTTTTCTTTTCCATTTGCTTGAAAGATTTTTTTCCATCCTTTCACTTTCAATCTATGTGAGTCTTTTGTTGTGAGGTGGGTTTCTTGTAAACAGCATATAGATGAGTCTTGCTTTCTTATCCAATCAGCTACTCTGTGTCTTTTTATGGGAGCATTCAGTCCATTTACATTTAAGGTGGTTATTGATATGTACTTATTTATTGTCATTTTTGTTTAGTGTGGTTCTATTTTTCTTCCCATTTCTCCTGGTAATTA